AAGTGCATTCTAAGTCCTCAATAATTTTTTTTTTTTTTTGAGACAGAGTTTCACTCTGTCACCCCACGCTGGAGTGTAATGGTATGATCTCGGCTCACTGCAACCTCCACCTCCTGGTTTAAAGTGATTCTCCTGCCTCAGCATCGCGAGTAGCTGGGACTGCAGGTGCTTGCCATCATGCTCGGCTAATTTTTGTATTTTTACTAGAGACGTGGTTTTACCATGTTGACCAGGCTGGTCAAATGTTCATTATTATTGCCGTTTTAAAGTTTTCCTTTGAATAGACTGACCTAAGTGAGGATAGTGACTCGATGAATCTGTTATTTTAGCATAGTACATATAATATTGTAAAGGTTAAATAACTGATTTTCTGAATGCATTAAACCTTATGATTAAAACTATGTTTTTCTGAACAAAATGTAAAAACTCATTTTCTCTCTGCCAGTGTAAACAAATTACCTTTGTAGTTTTTAAATTGCAAGGAATAGGGGATAAAGAGCTGTTCATGGTAGTTAATGAAAGGAGAGGGACTAATTTTTTTTAAATGGCTACTAAATGCAATGTATTTATAGCTTTATTTATTGCATAAAACAGTTGTAAAAAGCAGGTATAATTATCCTTGTTTTATAGATGAGGAAATTAAGGCTGAAAGGGGTTAAGTAATTTCTCCACCCTTACAAAGATAGTGGATGGTAGGGCAGATGTTGAAAACTATGTATCCACCTGTTTATAAAATCCTGTTCTTTCACTTTACCACTTCATGGGGGAAAAATGCATTTAAGGAAAACTTTGCTAAAAATGTAACATTTATATTTTCCAGTAGGGCAAACCTAAAATGAAAAAAGATGCAGGAATCACTAAAGGAGTGGTGGATTTTCTGAGAAATTAGTTTGGTTACCATTACTAGAGTAGATATTTTGTATTCTTTTCATATACTCATTATTATTATTATTATTATTATTTGAGATGGAGTTTCACTCGTTGCCCAGGCTGGAGTGCAATGGCGCGATCTCAGCTCACCACAACGTCTGCGTCCCGGGTTCAAGCGATTCTTCTGCCTCAGCCTCCTGAGTAGCTGGGATTATAGGCATGTGCCACCATGCCTGGCTAATTTTGTATTTTTTTTGTAGAGATGGGGTTTCTCCATGTTGTTCAGGCTTATCTTGAACTCCCGGCCTCAGGTGATTTGCTCTCCTCGGCCTCCCAAAGTGCTGGGAGTACAGGCATGAGCCATAGTGCCCGGCTGTATATTTATTATTTGAAAAGCCAAAGTATCCTTCTACTACCTGCTTTCCCCCACCCCAACATTGTAATCAGATATAATAGAGCCCCAGTTTATGGCTGCAGGGCTCATGTCTTTATTGTTTGTTGCTGTTTTTAAAGTAAAAGTTCTATATATTATTATTTGTTTAGTGTATCAGTCACTTGCATCAATACTTTGAGACATTCTTTTTAGCTGAGGTCTTATTTAAAATCAGACATTTTTTTTTAATCCACTAATTTCATGTAGAAATCTATAATATGCACAAATGTGCCTTCATTGTTTTATCCAAAGTGGTAAGAAGGCTGTTACATTGACTTTTTTTAAGGCCTTGGTTTTTTTGTTTGTTTTGTT